ATAATTATAATAATTAAAAATGTGAGAGTCAGGAAAGAGGCACAACAAATACATTGGTACACATAAATATAAACTTGGTACAAGAGTAAATATACAAAACAAAACAAAATAAATAGATACAAACCATCAAAATATCAGTAAAGATTAATAGACTAATGAAATGCGACGTTTATACTTAACTGCAACAGAAGATTGTCTTTTTGAATGCAAAATTCAAAAGTTCCAAGGTATGTCTTTCACTGTCTCAAATTGCTCTTACTAGAGCTTTTAGTAAGCCTCATCTGCCCTTTCTAACCATATGATGACAAACTTTCTTTGAAGCTCCCAGTAGATAGGTAATTGCAGCCCCCGAAGTAGATAGCAGATTGCAGCCCCCGAAGCAGCTGAATTATGACATACTTTACAATTTGTTAAAATTACAAACCTTTTTTTTACGGTACATTTTTTATAACATTACAATCCAATGCAATGTATATTGCTTACTATACAATACTGACGGTACATTACTTGCAATAGTTTTATAACACTAACAGTTGGCTACCTACAATACTCGCATTACATTGCTAGACATTACATAACTTACAATGTTTTTTTGACATTACAATCAAATACATCAGCTGCTACATAATACTAACAGTACAATACCAACAGTACATTACTTGCAAAAGATATAATTCAATCCACTTTTTAATTTATTTATAACTTCGTCTTGCTTTGTGTTTCTTCTGTTTCTTCCCTGTCTGTGGATTTCTTCACAAGTGTTCCACCAACAATACTAGCAAAAAGAATCAATCCAAGCCATTTGCTGGACTTGAATTTTGACAAGCAGTCAGATGACTTGGAGAGATCGACATTTTTAATCTACAAAAGAAAAGTAAAGCACATTCATGAAACCTGCCAAACATCACCTGAAAATCCGCCAGTTTTTTTTGTTGTTGGCACAATGGCCTATATACTAACAGTGTGTCAGGATTCAGAAGTCCTTGTGGAAATTAAATCTGTCAGGTTAAATGTGTCGAGTGTCCTTTGGCACGCTCACAGTGCCTTTGTCAACCCAGGAGTATAAATGGTATACTGGAAAATTATTAGGGCTGCCAATTTATCATTATTACCACGTGGATTGAAGTGTAATCAGTACAAAAGATTGCAAGTCTTGGATCACATTTTAAATTCTGAAGGCATTTGGTTGTAATGATTGCAATCATTATTTCAGCATAAATTATATACCTGCCATGCGAGATGACAAGCAACACAACCCAGTCCAACATAGTAAGGCCATGTCTGATCACTGTTTATTCCAACAAGAACCAGGCTGCTCAACAATAGAGCACCAAATCCTGCCAGCCAAAATTTTGTTTGATCCCCAAAAAGCAGTGCTGTGGACTTGACACCGATTAAGACATCGTCTGCCTTATCCTAGATGAAAAAATTACAATTGATGCATTCTACCAACAGATGCATAAACATTATTGAATTCAATTTCCCCTTGATCTCTGATGTTTATGTTGATGTCAAACTAATTTAAAAGCAAAAAAAATTACATTCATATGGATTTCTGTGTAGTTTGTCTATTATTAAATCTTAAGTAATCCTGAATAGCGATAATCTTATAAACTTTTGATACTTAATTCTACCTTCTTGTATGCTTTGTGGCATACCAGGGAAGTTTGTTTGAACCATGGTTCAGATTTTGCAGAGATGTAGTCAAGCCAAAATACCCACGGCGAAAACAAACGAGTCTGATATGCTGTCAAAGCATACCATAAAGGCACAATTATTAGGTATTAATATTTTACATACTCAAATTTGGCCTAGTGTGCATGATATTTTAGCCATATCAGGTCAGTGACTTGATATTGCAGGATATCAGGACAGTAGACACAGCTTCTAGTTGGCTACATGTAATTGCCAATTTGGGTATTTTAACTCACAATATTGTTGCCTAGATTTGCCTTGCAGTGTGTATGAGATTTCTTCAACTAGCACTATTGGTCAAGAAAATGAGAACCTGTCTGTTGACACCAAGGTTAAGGGGAATTTATCATGCACATGATGAATTTTGCACAGATAATATACTTAAACATAAGTTTTCAGAGAGTTAATTCAATTATTACCTGATGGGCATAGATAGTGTCATAGATAAGTGTCCAGTTGATTCCCGCAAAATATAGCGGCAGACAAACTGACCAATCACAACTCCCTTGCACTGCAGCATAGCCAAGTAGGGCACCCCAGTTAAATGTCATACCTACATAAAACACAGCATGCAAATACTATAAATAATAATATTGTTGCAGAGACTTTAAACCTCTTACAGCACCAGATGTTTGATGAGCCACCTGAAGTAAAAATAGTCAAATAAAAGTTCTGTTGTTGTTGTAATAATGTATCCATCCAAAATAATCCTTGTATAATTTCAACTACATTTCAATTTTTTTTTTATTTTGTCATTTGCAATCCATCTTATTCTTCCTCATTAATAACAACTATCCGTGAGTGATATTTTTAGTGTTTTCTTCTTATTTACAAAACTGTCATCTATTATCTTCACAAATCTATATCTCTAGCTTCAATAAGTCTTTCCAAGTGGCTTTTTCCCTCTGTTTCAGTACAAGTCCTGGTGCACAACCTTTCATATATTAATGAGTTTGATTTGTCATACAATGAATGCGCAAGAAAATCTCATTTCAATATGAAAGGTTGTGCACCAACACTCATTTTGAAACAGAGGTAAAAGCAACTCGGAAATGGCCTATTAGGAAGCAATTTTCTTCAACAGAAAAATGGCATAAAAATTGTGATACAGCTCCTCAAACAGTGAATACGAGCAGAAAACTGCTCACCAAGGAAGGCTTGAGGCCAGTAAGTGATTCTTTTCATCAGAGGATATGTCACTACAAGTCCAAGGGATGCCGCTCCAAGAATTATACTGTCAGTGTTAAAAGAAAGAAGATCAAAGTAGATATTTACTATGGGAAGACACAAGGGATGCTTTGCATTATGCCAGACCAAGGAAAACGGAACTTTTCGGTCGAACATGGCTAACTGAAAGGCATGGCTCTTGCCATTTTCTATTCCTTTCCTCAATCCCCTACACAACTGAAAATCCACTGAAGGGAACAAACTGATTCTTCAAAATAGAACAGCAAATTTCGGTCAGACAAGTCAGACCGATTAAAATGGGCCACCTCTGGAGGTGGTCCAGAATATTCTGGTTGGCCCAACTGAAACAGACCGAGAGGATTGCTATTACCTTGCCACCTGACAATGTTTTAAATAATTTGAGAAATTTTGATGTACCAAATCCAATTCTAAGAACTGTCGGTGGTACAGAGGACAATCATCAGAGTGTGAATGGGGGTTTGCATGGCTGTCATCAAGTTTTGATTCACCTGTAGCCTTGATCTTTGCCCCCATAACAAACTTGTTACTTTAGGAGTGAACTGTATCAACTACAGGCAAGTTCACCTGTAACTACAGGGGTCTATCAAGCATGCTCAGCCATAACAGGTGCTATGGTGCTCATTGAGAGCCCTGGCTTGACAACTCTGCCTCTTGTAGTTCCTGCATTTTGATTTGTCAAAAGTTGTCAGACCAATTTAAAGGTCTGTCCAGTGGCAACCCTATGGCATCAGTCTTCAATGGCCCTCACTCTAGTTACTTCCATGAATTTTTTCAGACTTAGAGAATAATAGCATTTTGAAAATAATTTAATTTTAACTGATATGGACCACACAGTACATACTGTGTGCAGCAAGTTGTAAAAACCAAGTACTGTTACCTGTAGTTGTTTAGCGAGAGTAATATTGAGAGCCCAATGCTCAACTGTGCTCCAAGAAATACTAAGGCCTGGAAATGCGTAAGAGAACTATCGGCTAGTGGTCTGGAAATAGTGCGTGCCACCTATATGGGCAATAAAATCAACCAAACTTAGCTTGTGGTACTGTGTTCTCATTCAGACTATAGGATTGTCTCAATCAGATGCAACCTCAGCATCTGCAGTATAATGTGCCTTTAGCTCAATTCTAAAAATGTCTCTGTCACAGGCTGGAGCCAGAAATAATTTAAACTTCCAGTTTTTTTTATTCCATTTTTCACAGCAAATATGGTCCAAACCCAGTTTTGGGTATCTCACTTCTGTAACTTTAAATTTAGTTCACAGTCAAACCTCCACTAATGGCCAACTCTCTGCAATGGCCATTTTGTCTGTCCCAGTGGACTGTCCATACATTTACTTGTATTGTAGCCTGCAAGCAGGCGCACTTGTTTGGGTAGGGTATCGCAGGCAAGGTTGGCAGAGCTGCCGAGAGCCAGCAAGACGAATGGGGTGAGGACCATTCCTCTCGCCAGCTTCACCAGCTCTCAATTACGGCCCTTCCCCACAATGCCCTACCCAAACAAGTCAGCCTGCTTGCAGACTACTTTTATTTTCACCTCTCTACAATGACCATCACTCCAAAACAACAATGGCCACTAAAGTGTGTCCTAACAGCCAAAATAACCTAGTTTCAACAATAGCCAGAACAATAGCCAAAACAATTAAAACGTTCTCTGGCTGAAAAATTTCAGTTAAAATAAGCTTAAATTTAAGTTGAAATAAACTTAAATATTTAAGCCAGAGAACGTTTTAATTGTTTTAATATGTTTAACCCTGGTTGCTTGTCTATTTTTAATAGCCAGTTAGTCAATGACTAACAAACAGAGTATACAAAACCTCATATTTCGTTTGGAAAGGTCACAAAACTTGATCCATACCACACGTCGTTTGTCTCTGTTTAGTTTCTGGTTTTTTTTTTTAATATGTAAATATTTTGATTACGTTACCTATTTATGTTACAATAAGCAACTTTTTACTCCCTCCCAAAATACAGGTGTCATATAATACCCCTACTGCCCGTAACAACACTCAACAACAGCCACTTTCCTCTGTCCCCAAGGTAACTGTTTTGGAGAGGTCAGTGGGGGGGGAGGTTTCCCATATAAAAAGAACAGGGGTGCTTGTTCGAAATTTTGAAAAAGAACCCCTAAGAGGTACCAAGATCCTGTTTTGTTGTTGTAGCCCGAAATTTTCCCCCCTCCCTTAGAGGTACCAACTCTTACATAACATATAATCTCCTGTCATATTTTTTCAACTCAATGCTTTAAAAAATACCACACAAGCTCCTGCTGTGGGCCTTTTGAGGCTGAACAGCCTAAGAGGAACAAAAACGTCTATTTTAACCCCTAAAAGGTGCGACAAGCAA